ATTATAATAACCAAGCTTGGCCCTCCAAGAGGTATGTGAATACACCTCGTTGCTATTTTTGCAAGGGAGAAAGGGAGACTTTGAGTGTGGAACTATCAAAGTTCAGTAGGATGTGAATGATGTTAGATAGTTGTGCTGAACTACTTTCTCCCCCTCTTGTATAATGTGAAAGTAGATGATATAAAAACAAAAGAAATAAATTAAAATTTTAAAAGACTTCTATCTATATAACATGTAAGTACCTCGATCTGAAACAGATGCATGGTAAAACTTACAAATTTAACAATAAATAGTAAAACTTCTATGCAATAAAACTGAAAGCTTATATTGACAGTAAGATCATCATTTCGTGAAACTAGCATAATAACAGGGTAACTGTTTTTCATATTAATATTAAGAGTTGCTTTGAGTGATCTGCTTTAGAATAAAAAAATATGCTTTGGTGAATTCAATGGCATAGAGAAATGACAAATTTTCACAACTATGGAAATGTGAGTTATTTCTTTTGGGGTATGTCTATCAACCTTCATGTGTGTCCTGCAGGTGGCAATATCATGAAGTGAAAACAAAGAAAACTTTTAACACATACTTTTAAAACAAGAATGGCTTCCATTTTAGAATCTGCTCATTTGAATGGGCAATACATTTTAAAACATTTTCAGGTAAAAAAAATGTGCTGGGAGAAAATAAAGAGTAACCACTGTTTAATTGTACATTTCAAAAAAAAAAAAAAAAAAGATTATGTGAAAGAGATGAGGGACAGCTTTTCTACTCTATTTTCTCACTAAATTCTTAGAGAAGTACTACAAATATCCATCACTAGACATAAGAACATTGCCTCTGCTTTAAGTCATGTACGTTAAGACCTGTTCTTGCTTAGATTGCTGTCAGTTAATGGCATACTTTATGTAAAAGCACAACACTTTGGGTGAATGGATTCTGTCCCTTTTTTCATCACCTACAGCCTCTTGCAATGACGACAAGAAGCTAGTATTCATTAAAAAAAAAATAGACCAGGTATGTCTGTACTATGTCAGTTAGCCTGGTTCATATAAACCACAGAAAACAATACAAATCACATTCAAACCCAAACTCCTATGTAATAATTTATAACACTCACAGAAAGTTAATTCAACATAGGGACAGAAGAGGGCAGAGTAGAATTTTTAAAATTACATTTAATCAAAGTGTTATAGACCATACTCAACTCCTCCCCAAAAGAAACACTAACAAAATGATATTCAGGGAAAAGACATCATATGTTTGCATTATTTGGTACTAATCTAATTCAACTTAGGAGTTCTAGTGGATTGTGTTTCCCTAATTTGCCTGCCATAAATTAAAGGTTAAAATGGCTTGGTCTAATTAACCTAATATAGATATCAAAGTTTAATAGAGACTTACGAAATGGAACACATTATTACAAAATAGCAGCAAACAGATTATTAATGCAATAGAAATAAAAAGTATTACAAAAGATTAAAAGTAGCACAAACATCCACATTGGTATACAAAAGTGAGTGAGAGGGTAACAGATTAAACTAAAAGCTGCTTTGTGTGAAAAAAGTTAAAAATCAATATGGTTTAAGTAATTTCTTTAAATTATCTGTACTTTACATGTTATATGCAGGTAGGAGAGAAAAGGGGAAAAAATTCAAAATTCATTTCATGGGGAAAGTAAAAAAGGCGAGTATGCAAAGGGTTGACCCCTGGCAGGAGGCTCCTACTTTGAACAGAATGCTACAGAAGAACAAGGGTTTGTTTCAATGTTTAAGCCATTACGCTGCCTTTGGCAGAACAGTGAAAGCCTATGTAGATCAACACATTTTCCTCAGGGAGCAAGAAGAGTAGTTGACACACAGATTTACAGGCAAATAGACTGGCAATTATGAAATATTAATAGGGTCTTATTGTCATGAGAAGTTGATTGTCAAAAATGATTCTCCAAAAATCTTACTGGCAAGTTGGAGCTCGTGACATCCTAAATTGGTAACCTCCCAGCGACATTTCCTGAATACTAATTCTCCCCATACTGGCTGCCCACCTCCTGGACTTCCTTCTTCCTGATGCTGGCTATATATCTGGCCTTGGTCAAGTCATTTAACCTTCCATGGCCCCAGTTTATTCATTTGTAAAATGAGAAGGTTGGACCAAGTAGCCTTCAAGGTCCTTCCCAGCTCCAGATCTTTGATCCTCTGAATCTCAAAGCCATCTCTACATAAGCTATGTTGCTGTGACACAATGGGATAGTGCATCAGCATCGGCAGTATATTTCAATCTTCTTAAATCACCTCTTGCCATTAAAAGTTTTAACTTTTCAGTAGTTTTCCTCAAAGTCAGAAATTATGAACAGGCTGCAGCTGTCTGCCTGATGAGCCAAACGCTTTAAAAATAAGGCTCTGTGCATAATTATGTCGATTTTGACAAAGATGCAAATCATTTCTTGGCAAAGATCCATCTTTTTCATTACACTTCGGTTCTTCCAAGAGGTTTCTTCTTTCAAAAGGAAAGAAAGAAGGAAGACAAAACAAAAAACCACATCACAGAATAGCTCAGAACATTTCACCCTTACTCTCATTAAATGTACCACTACTACAAATGGTATCACTTAAACATATAACTAGCTACTGCCCAACAAGAATGATGAGAATAGCAGGTTAGAAAATTTCCAATGCTCAGGTCATAGAATTTCATGCAATCTCCTTTTCTGAACTAAGTTTTAGTCTTAAAATTGGAAAGGACGTTAGACATCGTCTAAGTCAAGTTTCCACCCAACTAGGGAATATACTCTACAACATTGCCGATACATCATCATTCAATATTTGCCTATATACATCTAGGAATGGATAACTCATCACTTCAACTAAAGTCCCCAAGTTTTGAGTGTTTGTTTTTTTTTTAATGAACTGCTTACTGTCAAGCCATGTCTCCCCCAAGCTGTATCTCAGTTTATTTTTTAACTTCCATGAAGGACGTCTTTCCTGTTCTTTTTTGTATACGGAAATGTTTGTGTTTGTTATTATTTAAGTTCATAATAGAGAAAATGTTTAAAATGAAGTACTGGACACAAGATTCCATTAGCTGAAGTTAATACAACAGGTCATTAGTACTACTACTCTTCATAAAAATGTCTAGCATTTATATAACAGTTTAAGGTTTACAAAGTGCTTTACATATATATCTTATTTGATCCTCACAACAAGACCGTAAGGTTGGCACTATTATAATCCCTCCTTCACAGATGAGAAAACTGAAGTTGAGAAGTTCAATGACTTGCCTATGGTCATACAGATAGGAACTGAGGTAGGATTTGAACTAAGGTCTTTTTGACTCAAAAAATCTAACACTATGGTACCTAGCTGCATTAAAACAACAAAATAAAGGAACTTCTCTACATTAGAGAAACATTTTTCAACTTGTCCATAGGAATATTCTATTTTTTTATTATACAACATCAACTCATTCCTTTGTTTTGTTTAAGTTTCTTTTTAAAACATATTGCCTGAAAAGAAGCCACCAGCCATCCTTTTCCACTCTTTAAAAACAAAACAAAAAACCCCTGAGTAATTACAACTCCAAATCCAAAATCAAACAAACACACAGATATAGCTAACTTTCCTAGCAACTGAAAGGCCTGAAATTTAATTAACAGAATGGAATATCAGGGCATGTACTAACAATGGCTTGGCATAAAAGCACTACTAAAATTCATAGTTCAATCCTAAAAGGTAAAACTAAACATGGAAACCAGATGGGAAACATATTTGGGGTCAGATCTCTTGGTCAACAGATGTCCTGTTGCTCTCTAGAAATAAATCTGCAAATTCAAGTTCCTCTGATCTGGTCATGAATATGAGAACATACAATGAAAAGTAGGGAAAAGTGGCAGCTCTGCATACCCTGCATATTTTTGGGCATAATGTTCACTAACGAAATAATTCCACACAGATGCAGTAGACTCCAGAGTTTTTGTTGGCATTTTTCTGGGAATTACCTAGTTTGAATCATAATAATTATTGAGTTATAAAGTGTTCAACTACTATAAAAAACTAAAAGTTTTATTTATGTATAAAAAACTAAAACTTTACTTTCACAATGTATATAATAAAAGATCTTATTTTAGTATCCTGTACCATAACTTCACTCTATTTTTGTAATAGCTGACAAATTGATTGATGGTTCACAAACCATTTTAGGTCCATTATTTCATTTGATCTTCACAACCATAGGAGGAGGGCAGGCTGACATTAATATCCTATTTTAGAGATAAGGAACCTAAACCTCGAAGAAGTTAAATGACTGCCATAAGACATAGGACCAAAAGGCTCACAGAATATAGAAATGGAAAGAAACTAAAAAGACCGTCCAGTCCAACTTCCTCATTTTACACATTAGGAAACTAAGGCCCAGACCAGTTATAGGATTTGTATAAGCCAACCAAAGGTTTTGACTCAAGGTCTACTGCCATCATCATCTCATTGTTATGACTGAAAAAAAACCTTAATGGTGTACATATCTACAGTCATCCATCTCTATGCCAGGACAATAATTTGAATAGGTTATATGGCAAAAATACGGCACAGCAAGTTCACTCAATAAGTAAAAGTAACGGTGTACAGGAGGTAAAAAAAATTTTTGAAAAGTGAGAAAAAAAGAAAAAAATTCTCCACAATATCCCCACCTCCACAAAAGCAGACATCCTAGGGTATATAACATAAATGAACCTCCCACCAGAGATCGTGGAAATCTTGATTTTTTTTTCTGCAGGATTTATTACTTTCCACTGAGCGTCCATTCATGCAGTGTTCTTCTTGTTTCTATTCATAGCACCAGATCCTTACTAGCATGCACAACCTCAAAAGAAAAGAAAGACTAAATACAAACTGCGTAAAAGAAATAAAATAAAAAAAGCAAGACACAAAACACACAGTAAAAAGAAGGGAGTCCTGGGACTAGAATTTTATGACTAACATACTATCACTAGCTCTTACTGGACTCACCTTGTATGCAACACTATTAGACGAGTCCACAATGATAAACAGAGGTTTTCTGGTAAAAGGATAGAGATCTCCAGGATGAAGGCTAGGAAGAGAAATAAAGAACTCAGTAAGCCCAACCATCCAAGTCAAATATTACAGGCCTTGTTCTTTTTTTTTCCCCTTTTTTTAGCTAATACATAAGGAAAAGAATTTTTAAATTTTTGTCAGTTTTTATTTTTATTTTATTTATATTTTCACTTCCACATTTTTTTCTCTCCCTAATCCTCTTCCCTGCCCACTGAGAAAGAAAAATGATACCCATAGTCACGCAAAACATTTCTGCATTAGCTATGTTCGGGGGGAGGAGGGAAGCAAGAAAAATAAAGAAAGTGAGAAAATGTTTCAATCTGCACTGTAGCCCATCAATTATCTATCTGGAGGTGGATAGCAATTTATATTATGAGTGCTTTGGAGTTGTGGTAGATCACTATGTTGATCAGAGTTACTAAGCGTTTTACAGTTGATTTTCTTATGATATTGCAGTTACTGTACACAGACTGTTCTTTCGGTTCTGCTCACTTCATTTTGCATCAGTTCAGACAAATCTTTCCAAGTGTCTCTGAAAACATTCCTTTCATCATTTCTCAGACCACAATAGTATTCCATCACCCTTATATACCATAACTTGTTCATCATTTCACCAATTGATGGGCATCCACTCAGTTTCCAATTCTTTACCACCACAAAAAGAACTACTATAAATATTTTTGTACATTGTGGGTCCTTTTCCCCTATTTGTGATCTCTTTGGGATACAGACCTAGCAGAGGTATTGCTGGATCAAAGTATACGCACAGTTTTATCACCCTTTGGGCATAGCTACAAATTGTACTCCAGAATGGCTGGACTAGATCACAACTCCACCAGCAGTGCATCAATGTACCTTTTTTCCCACATGCCCTTCAGCATTTGCCATTTTCCTTTTATATCATGTTAGCCAATCTAGCAGGTATGAGGTGGTGCCTCAGAATTCTTTCAATTTGCATTTCTCTAATTATTAGTGATTTAGAGCATTTTTTCATATGACTATTGATAGTTTTGATTTCTTCCTCTGAAAACTGCCTGTTCACATCATTTGACCATTTATTAACTGTGGAATGGCTTCTATTTTTATAAATTTGTCTCAATTCTCTATACACCTGAGAAATGAGACCTTTATTAAAGAAACTTGCTGTAATTTTCCCCCCAGTTTCCTATTTTTCTTCTAATTTTGGCTACATTGGCTTTGTGCAGAAACTTTTTAACTTTATGTAATCAAAATCATCCATTTTACCTTTTGTGAACCTCTCTATCTCTTGTTTGGTCATGAATTCTTCCCCATGCATAGACCTGAGAGGTAATTTATTCCATGTTTCACTAACTTGTTTAAATAACCCTTTATGTTTAAATCATGTACCATTGTAAGCTTGTCTTGGTATATGGTGTGACATGTTGATCTATGCCTATTTTCTGCCAGACTACTTTTCAGTTTTCCCAGTAGTTTTTGTCAAATATCAAGTTCTCACCTCAGTAGCTGAAATCTTTGGGTTTATCAAACGCTAGGCTACTATGTTCATTTGTTTCTATATATTGTATGCCTAGTCTATTCCATTGATCAACCTCTCTGTTTCTTGCCCAGTTACCAAACTGTTTTGACAATTACAGCTTTGCAATATAGTTTGAGATCTGGTATTGCGAGGCCCTCTTCCTTCACTGTTTGTTTTTTTAATAGATTCCCTTTGATTTTCCTGACCTTTTATTCCTCCAGATGAATTTTGTTATTATTTTTCTAGTTCTATAAAGTAATTCTTTGGTAATTTAATAGGAAAAGAATAAAAGTTAACTTGGGGAACCTAAAGTCTTGAGGGTTACACAAGTAGTGTCTGAAGTGAAATATAAAACAAGGCCTCCAGATTCCAAGGGCAGAATCCTTCCCACTGAAATAGAAAGAGTTGAAATGCTATAAACTTTAGGAGAGGGTATCTATTTCTTGTTTTTCAGAAAGTGATTCCAAGTGCTTGTCTTGTCAAAAAGGAAAGGGATTATAAAAACCATTAGTACAACTTAAATTCTCAAGCTCCTTAAACCTTAAAATCTACACATATTTCTAAGATGTTGTATGTATAAATAAGGATTTCCTTTACTCTCTCTGAATAATAGTAATTATATATTAATAAAACATTATTATTGGAAATGACCTTAGAGATTATCTGATTTACCTTTGTCACTGTTTAAATGAGGAAACTAAAGCAAGACTATGATTTGCACCATGTAAAACAGATAGTAGAATTCAGTCACTTACAGCACTGTTTTAGTAGTTAGGAGATAGAATTAGGATAAAGTGCTTACCTTTCCCTAGTTTTCAATCTCTCAAAGTGGGATATTACACATATACTAGCATGCAATAATGATAGTAAATAACTAGAATGCAGAATATGAGAGGTATAAGGTGTTATGCAAGATCTGAGGAATAAAAATGATTCCTGACCAGAGGGATCAGGAAAAAAGTGCTAAGAGAAGACTCAAGGTCTCTTGATTACCAGGTCTGTGTCCTTTCCATTAAACCATGGTGTCTCTTCTGTGTCTGGAGCAGAGGTTGGCTTTTGGATGGCAGAATGTGTCGCTTCTCATGCCAATATCATTAAGTTCCACCTTTCTAGCTTTCAAATATAGGTTTGCCCTCTTACTATTCAACATCAAGCCATTAGTAGGAAGACAAAGGACAAGAACAACATTGTTGTGAAGAGGATCTTTAGAAGATGACTTTCTACCTACAATTCTGGTTATATCAATTACCAGAGCTCTCAGTTTCAGAGATCTTACTCATGTTAAGATCAATATGAGCAAAAGGATTCTTTCTTTCTTGAATAATCAACAAAAAGCCTTCAGTAACTGGCATCAATTGGCTCTGTCATTCATTGATTAAGTGACCTTAGGGAAATCATTCTGACTTTCTGCGCCTCAGTTTCCTCATCATTGCTTTGCAAAGTACTATATAGCTCTAATATTTTAAGTTCTGATTACTACCATTCTATGTTCTTAGGTCCCTGTGCTTTGATATTTTACATTTCAAAGATCCCTTCCCAGCTAACCTATTTCTAGGTTAATTTTGGATTTTAATGAATGCTTAATTATATTCTGTTGCATCTCTGTATTGCTAGAAATCTTCTATTTCAATAGGAAGTATAAAACAGGACTGACATACTTAGGTGTCACAATAGATAGAGGTCTGGGCCTGGGGTCAGGAAGACCTGAGTTGAAATCCAGCCTCAGACACAGCTGCATAACTCTAAGCAACTCTCAACCTCTATTTGCCGCAAAGTCCTCAACTGTAAAATGGGGAGAATAATAGCTCCTAGTAACTACCTCCCAGGGTTATTCTGAGGACCAAACGAGATAATAATTGTTAAGTGCTTAGAATAGTAAATTGCACATAGTAGGTGCTATATAAATGCTTGTTTCCTTCCTTCTCTCTCCCTATCCCCAAAAGGAATAGCTGAAAGCTAGATCAGCTCTCTTACCAGTGCATTTCTTTATGGGTCTGATTTCGTTTGTGGATGGCATCTCCATTTATAATATCTCGATTACTATTAGTGAGGACTCCTCCAAAATCATATGGGCCTGTAAAACGAAAAGGAAGAAAACCTGACATTAGTTGGAATGTTACTGTTTATCTTAGGTTCAAACAAAATGAAAACAAGTGAACATATATTCTCATCACAAGAGAAAGAGAAGTACACATTTTCTAATCACATTATATAATACAGCATCTATTCTAAACAATTCCAGGTAGTGTTTACTTAAACGTTATTAGGGTTTTTTGCATTATTTGTTTGTTTCTAAAATAGGGCATAATGAGAAACAAAGTAAAAACTTACTATATGACATTATTGGGAATAACAAAAGTGATGGAAAACTTGAGTCATTATAATTAAACTTTCAAAAAAACCCTAACATTTCATATGAAAATTAAGATCAATAGGTCCTAAATATCATGTGAAACAACAGACAGAAGAATTGAAATTTTTCCTAATAATCTCTTTTATAAAGAGCTATGGAAAAATTTACCTAGTTTTAGGTTTGCTCTAAAAGCAAACATTACTGAACTATTTTAGAAGTTTGGGAAGTCTCCTAATGATAAATATTTCAGTCTCAAGGAAACAGGAGCAAATGTCAGTGCTATATCAAGTGCTTCATTAAGGTCAGCATGGCATAGTGTACAGAGAGCCATACACAAAGCAAGAAAAACCCAGGTTCAAGTCCTATGTCTAAAACATTCTAGGAGTGTGATCCTGGGCAAATCACTTAACCTCTCAGTGTTCCAGACCAGTGTTATCAAACTCAAATCGGGCAGGCCATATGTTGACGTAGAAAACCACAAAGTAATATCATCTATATTGTATTGTGTTTTTATTTATTTTCCTAAACATTTTTCAGTTACATTTTAATCTGATTTGGGCCTCACAGGCTATGAGTTTGACATCTCTGTTCTAAGAAATTCTCTAGGACTATATGTTGCACACTTACATTTGTAAAAGAAATTTTCTCACCTGTAAGTTCTCTATATCAACGAAATCTCCAGTTCCTATCCTCTGCCCCTTTCTGAAGTCACACTTTAATATTATGAAATACTATTTTTCAAACTATTCCACCATGAAGCAATGTGGCATAATAGAAAATGTGCTGTTCAAACTGGCTCTGATACCTTCAAGCCATGTGACTTTGGGCACATCAATTCCCCATTATAGGCCTCGGTTTTCTCATCTAAAAATGGGAATGATCATGTTTACATGCTCTATCTTACAGGGTTATTCTTTGGAAAATGTTTTATAAATCATCATCATTATTTTTGTTATTCTGCATATTCTGAGAAGTCTGTATGAAAAGAGGAAATCCTTCAACATACTAGAACACTAGAGGAAAGACTTGAATAAAATTGGTATGAAATAATAAGATGGTGGACAGGGGTTTACAATATGCATCAGTGGAGGGAATAACTAACCAAGCAAAAATAAGGATCCACAAAAGAATCTGTAAATCCAGAACTAGGTATGTTTAATATAATCAAACATACTTCTGAAGTTAAGCTTCTAGGATGACTTAGCTACTGTGAAACATGACTGAAAATATGGTGTTTCACTATAAGAAGGTAGAAAATGAGCAAATTAGTAAAGGTCCAGTATCCTAGGCATTAATGTTTTACCAATCACACACTAGACGAAGTATAGAATCCAAGTCACTTATCCACAGAGGCTTTCAAAAGAAGTTACTAGAAATAGTAAACGCACTGTGTAACAAACAGAATCCTCTTATTTAATGAAAAATTCACTTCAAGTTTTCAGGCTTAAGAATGAGAGGCAAATAGGGAGGAACCCAAAGTCAAACTGGCTAGCCTAGGTACAGGAAATATAAACCAGCATACACTAATGCAAAATAAGACATGCAATATCAAATTGTATTTTTCTTACCCCCTCAAAAAAATCACTGCAACAAAAAAATTACAGAGATTTTCTTTTCAACATTTTAAGAGAGTCTATGAGTCATGCAAGGAAGGGGAAAAGAGCATGCTTCATATAAAGGAATGCAAGTTTCAAAATAGAAATGAGTTGAAAAAAATATTAAGAAAATGAGATAGAATTTCTTTCCATCAGAGAAACTGTTTTAATTACTTAAATCAACATATCTAAATATTCTGACCATTCTATTCCTATCAGAGTTTTCGGTTTTACCAACAACATCCTAATATTCAACTTGGTTTAAAAAAAAAAGAGAAATGTAAAGAAGGACAGAATCAACAAAATCATGACAAGGGCTTGAACTTTCACAGTAATAAAAGTATTATGATTTCTACAAAGATTCTCAGCCACACTTCAGCCACAGACCCAACTATATAATTCACTAGAGGTTCAGGGAACATGATCATGAAGGAGAAAATCATGTTATGAAGTCCAGAACAACAAACCAAATGAGCTTTTGGGGGTCTTCAAAATCAACAATGTTCAGATGATATTCAGGCAAAAACTGAGGCATGCTCTTAATGTGTGATCAATAGGTTCATAGAAACATAGAATTTAGAGCTAGACTGGAATTTAGAGATGATGATCTTATCAAATTTCATTTTATAGAAAGAAACTGAGGCCCAGGGAAGTAAAGAAACTAAATGGTCATAACTAATAAGCAACTGAGCATGAATTCAAATCTACAGGTCTTTGGACTCAGTCTAGGGCTCTTTCATGTGACTAACAGGTTTCTATATATACTGTTTAAGCAAATAAAATTAACTGGGGGTCTAACAGTAGCATTACATTCAAAAGATAAACTGGAACTTTAAATTGAATGCCTCTTGAGAAAGGCATTTTGAGACAGTCAGGAGGCCACAGGCCATCATCTTGCAGAATATAAAGAGAATTCAAGCCTTGCTCATGACAGGGAGCATTCCTTTATTATACCTTCACTATCAGAACGACCTGTGGGAAAAACTCCAGTGGCTGACAGGTAAATCAGGAGCACACTGTTGGCTGGCAGCTCCTGGAATTTAAGACATACACATATATAAAACAATAAACAAGGCGAAATATGCTTTTTAAAAAACAATTTGTGACATATTCAAGAGCAATAAATTCCCCTACCACAATGTGGTGACAGCTAGAGCCAAATTTAAAATCCTATTCTATTTTCAAGCAGAAATTTCAGTTTTGTTGGCTTAGAGATCACAGAATATTAGAGGTGCAAGGGGCTTAGTAATCATCTTAGTCCAGTCCTCTCATTTTACAGATAATAAAACTGAGGCTTAGAAAACTAAGTGACTAGCTCAAGGTCACACAACTATTAAATAGCAGAGGTGGACTCATACACAGGTCTTCTGGCTCAAGTCTAATGGCCTTACCACTAAACTACACTTCTACTCTGTAATTTCTACTTGTTTCATAACTGTCTACACAGCAAATAATCAAACAGCTAACCACTAATTAATGTATATATCATCACAAGTTACAAAGATTATTTTTAGACACTAACACCCATTTTTTGCATACCTAAACTCAGATTTGGAAGTAGCTGGGTGGTGCCATGGACAGAGTGCTGGACCTGGAATCAGGAAGGCTTATTGTCCTGAGTTCAAATCCAACCTCAGAAACTTACTAGCTGTGTGACCCTAGGCAAGTCACTTAACCCTGTTTGCCTCAGTTCCTCATCTGTAAAATGAGCTAGAAAAGGAAATGGAAAACCACTCCAGTATCTTTGCCAAGAAAACTCCAAATGGATTCATGAAGAGTCAGACATGACCAAAATATTACTGAATAACAAATTCAGATTCAGAGCTAGAGGTAGGTTAAAAAAAAAAAGCAGAAGTCTAATGCACAGCAAATGGAAAGGGTGGCACAAGGGACAGTTTTTAAGATACAAGTTTTCATGATTGCATGAATGCTCCAGTGAACACTAATTCATACATAAATGGCACCCTTTTCAAAAGTAAAACACTCAAGCCTTCCTAGGTTGCAAAAATGCCTTGTTCCAGCTCTGCCTAAAATAGATACATAATAATTACTGGGCTAAAAGACAAACTCTCCTCCCAGACATGTTTAAAAAGCGTCTACATCGGGGCTGAAAAAAAATATCTGAGATCTTTAATCTCCCAAGTTGCTACAAATGAAGCAAAAGTATATTTAGGGTGCTTCTTGATATCTGACAAATATACATAATAAGACACTGTTTTACCTGATGGGGTACTGGAAATAACTATTATGCCTGCAGTGTTGGGGGCATGAACACTTATAGTAAGCACAGTGGTAGTTCATCAACACATTCATTAACTTTGTTGAAAAAAAAAACATTCATTAATTTTCCTCAGGAAAATATGTATCAAAAGCTCTTTCTATACTACACAGCGATACTTAGGATTCCTATTTTCCCAATTCAAAAGTAGGTGTTTCATTTTAATATGGCTCACCAAATTTGTCACTGGTATAGTTAATGATATGTTTCTTTGGGGACCCATTTTTTTTCTAGGCAATAGAAAACGTGATCACACAAACCTTAAAAGAAGCTGCTAAAAATGTATATAGCTGGCTGAAAGTTGGTTTGTACAGCAGATATTTATGAGGGTTTTCTCGCCGGGCAGGCTTGTCAGCAGATTCCTGTAACCACACAAAATACCAAAAAAATAAATAACTCGAGTTTATTTTAATGGACAATTTTCAATTTTTTTCATGAAGCAAATATGTTCTGGTACACTAAGTAACAAATGCCATTTTACTGGACCTACCTACTCATGTTGCCCATGAAAAAAAAACTTTTATGGCTTAAGGTCTTTCACAGAAGACCTCCTCTGATATATGAACATGGTATAAAGCTAGATCTACATCTTGAAAGCTACTTCTAGTAGGGTCTAGCTCTGATATTTCTAGCTCTGATTATAGATTCAGGGAGGAACTATGTGTCATTTGAGGATGAGCCTAGCCCAATGCAAAGAGGCTCATTACCAGAATACCGGCTACTTGATGAAACTTATTCTGATCACATTAAAAAAAAAAAAAAGAATACTGCACAAGTGGTAGAGGGGTTGCAATCTACATCTGTGAAAGAAACATCCATAGTAATGAAAACATAGATCTTCTGAAGGCCTGAAGAATTATTTTTACTGTACACTAATCCTTGAATTGTAAGGAAATATAGACTCCCTTCTGTATACAGTACAAGCAGCTCAAAGTGTTTTATCCAGCTTAAAAACCACTGAGGAGCATCACCTGCATTCCAGGTTTGTTCATCTGTGAAGCTAAATTCATTGGCTCTCGTTCTAAGGCCTGCAACATCCGGAACATGTCAACAGTTAGTTCACTGAACTTCACCTATAAAAGAAATAGACCAAAACATTAATACATTGGTCAAGGGAAAGAGACAGTCTTAAGCAAAGCCCAGTAAACCAAAGAACTTAATTATAACGTGCTGAAGAAGGCTACTGTCAACTTACTTTAACTCCTTTTCTTAAGTTCTCTTAACTATAAAGAAGCCACATAAGTAACTAGCCAGTCAATAAACATTTATTAAGCACCTACTATGTGTCATGCACTGTATACAAGAAAAGGTAAAAGTCAGTTCTTGCTTTCAAGGAACTCAGTCTAATGGGAGAGACAATGCGCAAACAATTATGTTCAAACAAGCTAAATATAGTATGAACTGGAAATGATCAACAGAGAGAAGGCATTAGAATTAAGAGGAATTAGGAAAGGTTTCTTATAGTAGGTACAATTTTAGTTGTGACCTGAAGGAAGCCAGGAGGTAGAAATAAGGAAGGGAATCATTCTGGGCATGGGAGTAGGGGAGGGAAGGGGGAGTGGCAGAGAAAAGGGAAACAGTCATTGAACATGACGAAGTTCGTGTGTGTGGGAAGCAAACACAGAGAATAGAGGAAGCACTACTCTCTCAACATTCCTTTCCAAACAACTTTAAAATAAATGCATCAAATTTAATTTCTGGAATGGCAAAGCCAAGAAAAGGTTGAGGTGAGATATTTTTACAGTCCAAGATAACTAAGGAGGTCAGAAGGAGAGTTCTGTGAAACTGGGATGAGGGCTGGCGCAGAGCACACATAATGGCAATACTAGTTGTGAGATATGACAGTAGTTTCAGGAGCTCTCAGCCCAGAGATGGTAAGGGAATTAGAAAACTAGTTAGAAAGAGATTACAAGGGACCCCTGTGCTAACACTGGGCACAGAACAGGGCACTGTTAGGCAACTCCATTGCACATATCCACTTCTGAATTGCAGTTTGAGGGCAAAAAGGAGCACTTTCAGACACAAAGGATTAGGGGCCCTGAGGAGCAGTAGTGCCTGTGGCTGCAGGGGATCAGGGACTCTTTCTGAGTAAAGACTAGAATGCAGACTAGGAGAGCAGTGACCTCTCTCCAAATCACACTATCATGGAAGCACTGAAAACTTCCAAACTCCCAGAACTAGCTCTGAAAATAGCACAGTAAAAAATCCTGAAGCTTGGGGCAATGTTATACTCCCTCCCTCAGGTGAACAGATCTCAACTTTAACATAAAATTCAAAGTTAAGAAATAGGCTGGGGAAATAAGCAGACAACCAACAAAGAACCCAACTGTAAAAAAAATACTATAGTGACAGCAAAGATCAAGACACAAACTCAAGAGAAGACAATGATGTCAAAACAGCTATAAGCAAAGCTTCAAAGAAAAAAATGCAAATAGGACACAGGTCCAACAAGAATTCCTAAAAGAACTACAAAAATTATTTTAAAACTCAAATAAGTGGCAGAGGAAAAATTGGGAAAAGAAGTGAGAACAATGCAAGAAAAGTAAGAAAAGACAATTAACAGTGTAGTAAAAGAGACACAAAAAATACTGAAGAAAATAAGACCTTAAAAAAAACAACAGAATTAGCCAAATGGTAAAAGAGGTACACAACTTCATTGATGAAAAGAACTTAAAAAGAAGAATTGGTCAAGTGGAAAAAGTACAAAAGTTCACTGAAGAAAATAATTCCTTACAAATTAGAATTGGGCAAGTAGAAGATAATGACTCCATGAGATATGGAGAAACAATAAAACAAAGTCAGAAGAATGAAAAAAAAATTAGAAGAAAATATGAAATACCTCATTGGGAAAACAACTGACATGGAAAATAGTCAGAGATATCATTTAAGAGTGAATGGACTACCTGAAAGTCATGATCAAGAGCCTAGACATCATATTTCAAGAAACTGTAAAGGAAAACTGCCCAGATATCCAAGAACCAGAGGGTAAAATATAAACTGAAAGAATCCAACTATCACTTCCTGAAAGAGAACCCAAAAAGAAAACTCCCAGGAATATATCACTAAATCCCAGAGCTCCCAGATCAAGGAGAAAACATTGTAAGCAGCCAGAAAGAAATAATTCAAATATTGTGGAGCCATAATCAGTATCACACAAGATTTAACAGCTGCCAGATTAAAGAAGCTGAGGGCTTGGAATATAATATTCCAGAAGGCAAACGAGCTAGGATTACAACCAAGAATAAATTACTCGGAAAAACTGAGTATAAATCCTTTTTTGGGGGTGGGGATGGACATTTAATGAAATAGAGGATTTTCAAGTATTGCTGATGAAAAGATCAGTGATGAATAGAAAATCTGACTTCTAAATACAACACACAAGGAAAAGCTTTTACAGTAGATGGGAAAATGAGGCAGAGAGGCAAGGAGGGCAGACTTTAAAGTGAAAAAAGGGCCAAGGTATACATAGGGACTTGTGATTTTGTCTGTAACCTTTTTTTTCTGTTCCTCCTTGTGTAGAACTGTTCATGCTTGATAATTTGGTAAGTTCACAATATCAAAAATAAAGTTCAACAGTTTTTAAAAAAGACATTTTAAAAAATTATTGGAGTAAGGAGGTAGCATGTTTTAATCAAGGAAGAGTAAGGAGGTCAGTGTCATTGGATCAAAGATTATGTAGAGAGGGTAAAAAATAAGAAGGCTGAAAATGGGAGGGAGGAGAGACAAGTTATGAAGGACTTTGAATGCCAAAGAGAGGATGTTATATTTGATCCTAGAAGTGGTAGGGAGCCTCTAGAGTTTATCAAAGAGTGGAGTGATATGGTCAGAACTGTACTTTAGGAAGATCACTTTGACAGCTGAGTAGAGGATGAATTAAAGTAGGAAAAGATTTATGGCAGATAGACAACCACCAACTTATTGCCTATTGTGTAATGAGGTGAGGAAGGCCTGCACCAGAGTGGTGGCAGGGTTACAGAAGAGACGGGGGTCTATGCAGAAATGTGGCAAAGGTAAAATTGACAGGCTTCAAAAAGATGAGCTATGGAGGAGGAAGAATGAAGAGTGAAGGATGACACCAAAACTGTGAACAAGAGAAATGAGAAGGGTGGTGGTGCCCTCAACAGTAGTAATATGAAAGTTAGGAAGAGGGGAAGGTTTGGAAAGAAATAAAATTAGTTCAATTTTGGACATATTGAATTTTAAGATGTTGAAAAGACATCCAGGTCAAGATATCCAATAGGCAATTGGAGATGCGAATCTGGAGGTCAGCAGAGAGGTTAGGGTTGGATAAGATTTGAAAATCACCAACATGGAGATGATAATCCAATCCATGGGAGCTGATAAGATCATCAAGTAACATGGTAGAGAGGAAGAAGAGAAGATGACCTCGGAGAGTCCTGTAGGAATCCTACCCATTAGTGGGCATGACCTGGAGGAAGGTCATGGAGAATGGAGAGAGGTCAGCTAGGTAGTATGTGAACCAAATTAATTCCATCTTATAAAACTGATTCCATTTTGAGATCTAAGTTTCATTTTCCTATAAATTCCATTTGCTTGCTAATCATGGGAATTACCAACTCTCAATCAGATTACCGAATTTTGGCTTTTTATGCATACAACTCTGTATCTCCCTGTTTTTAGAGTCCAGTGTCAAACTGAGAAGGCCTAGTTCCAATTTGTTATGCAATTGGCATGCACTGCTTAATAAATCAATATGCTTGGGAGTTTGAACGTTTGTTTCCTCAGTTATTTCAGATTTTACCCACCATAGGTTTTGATGCAGGTTGAAATATAGGATCCTGACCACCAGAAGAGTCTTTCAGAAAAACCAGAACAATCTGGTTAACCTTTCACTGAGGGACTTTTTTTTACAGAAGATTGCCCTGGATATCAGACCCCCCCAACCCCTGTCTCAATTTCATTTTTTCCAAGCTAAGGTAAACCCCCCCCCCAAACATTGTTTGCTAGGGAAAGCAAACTCCATACATTGTTTGTTGGGGAAGACTGGGAAAGATCCTATGTCACTGGGAAAGGTAATTCCCCCATACTCCTTGAGAAGGTTAACTCTCACACTGTGGGGGAAGTAGATAGCCCGGGGAAGTCCCTTTAAGGGAATAGATAAAGATAAGCTTCCTCAATGTAGGAGAAATCCCCTTAGGAAATATACGCTAGGGTAAGCCTCCACACTGTTGGGGAAGTTCCCTTGGAGAAATTATGGGATCCAAAGTAGCATCCTGATGGGAAACCCCTTGAAAAATGTCTTTTGGCATAAGACCAGGGGAAGAGTGCGTTGTCAAACTGACACCCCCTTAGGGAAATTCCCATACAGCAGTGGAGGGGGTGACTAAAAGATAGAGCTCTCAAATTATGCTAAAATATATAAAAATTCAAATGGGTCACAAAATTGGCCTGAAGAAGGGACTTTTAATTGAAGGAAATTAAAGGCTTTGAGATTAGACTTTCAGCAGAAGATAAAGCCTACAAGTACATCTTATGATTTTGACTTTTTATGTCTTTGCAAAATGCTCAGAAAAACTATGTTTTGTGTCATATTTAGTGTTGTCTGTAGATTCTGTTACCTTGAAAGATTTCTGAGGAAAAATGCAGCCAGCCAGGAAGACTGGTAAAAAGCTGTAGCTAAAGAGTTTAGCATGCTGGGGAAAATTAATGAAGTTTTATACTTGAACCAGTTCTCTGAACTTTCTGTAATCTGATGCTAAGCTCTCTGTCCCAGTAAGCAGAACTCATTCCCACTTTAGGCTTTCTGCTAGAGATAAAGATAAAAAGAAAAAAACCCTGCAAAATACTGTCTCTCTGTCATATCAAGCCTGTCTAGGATAGTGTTACAGAAATTAAGTCAGATAATCAAAGAAAGGAAAACTTTTTCCTGGTTTGTAGAAATTTGTGGCATTATAAATGATTGAATTTGTAATTGACATATAATAACTTTACTGTAAATTTCTAAATTATGGTAACTACTAAAAAACATCTTAGTAGATTTTGGAGGCTTGGTGATTAGGGAGATTGGAGATTAATTATTTTAAGACTGCAAGGGAGAACTCCTGGGACTTCA